ACGGATCCCAGAGGATTGGGGTCCGTGTGCAACACTTCGCCTTTGAGGGGGTTGCACCTTCTGCAGACGAAGCAGTGGGTCTATTTATATCCCCCCGACCCACTAGGGGTCCAATGCAGTATACCCAGATGTACACCCGATATGTGAGGCATAATGGTGAAATCAGGCGCTCATCAAAACAATGAAATCAAAGAAACAGGTATTTTTCTGGGCGTTGGGCAATTAAAAAAATTGTTTTCCCTTTTTTTGGCTCAACAAATTTTTAATCCTTTTGTAAAACCATTTCCGTGTGGATGTTACCGAAAAACGTTAATTAATTCCAGTTTCCAACAACACTAAAGCTTTGGAAGTTGCCAAACTTTGGCGACTATTTTCTCGCTAATTTTACCTCACATACCAGGCGACCCCCACCTCATTCAATCGCAAATATCTTGACTTCCATTCAAAATAGACGGATAATTCGTTGACCAAAAGGAAGGCAAATAAACAGGTTTTAAGATGATACCAACAACTCCATACGCCCAAACAATGACGAGCGTCTGATTCCACTAGGTCGTGACACATATATATATGGTAATGAGGTATTGAACAAAATCACCAAGTGGCTGAATTGAGAAAAACAGTAAAGAACTTACATCTAAACACTTTCAAGTAAATTTGACACTCACCTCATCCATGGCTCTGATTTCTAATCTGAGTTTGTCCATGACAGTGATGAAAAGCTGCAAAGTAAAGAATAGGGAAAGAAATAAACATCAAGACTGACAATGCCAAGAACCCACAAACATGAAAGTAATTAAAAATAAGTCTGCTATACTGTCTTGTATGTCTTACAAGAGATGAAATGTACTGTTCAACTCCCCTGACAGTCAGTGACAGCCACCTGTCTAAGACAACCAACAATACAAACAACCACTCCCCCCTGCACATTTTTTATATAATAGTAGGTACCGCAGGCGAGCCGTTTTCAAGGCAGACAGCTACGGCTGGAGCCAGATTTGGACAACTTCATCCAACTATTAGCTGGTTTTAATTTGGGTAAACACTAATAAAAATTATACCA